TTCTCCTTGAAGAGTTGATTTCATCGATACATCACACTCGGGGTATAGCGGAAAAGATTATGGAGATATAGAGTGCGAAAGATCGAGATTTTTCAACTTCAGGGATTTTTGGGTATGCGAAATTTTCAGAAGAATCCCGCGTCGCGTTCTCCATAAACGTCTAACCTATAACATCGACCGTGAGTCACGCTGTATAGATTTACAATAAAACTGCTGAAAATCAAGTAGCTTGATAGAACTACTTGATTTTTCAAGTACTTGAAAAATAATTACTTGACTTGACTTGACATTAAAAAACTTTCGCTTGACTTGAACTTGACTTGATTTCAAGTCAAGTCAAGTCAAGTAGCTTGAATATCAAGTCAAGCCGTGAATCTCTGAATACACGCTCTGATGGCTCAGCTGCCCTTCATGGAATGGATTATTGAATGGAAGAAATATCTTGATTTGCTCATTATATTATTTCATATTTGCTTACAGAAGAAATCTGAATACACCAGTTGATCTTTTTCCATTTTCATCACTCTGGGACCAAGAAATACACGCTCTGATGGCTCAGCTGCTCTTTATATGTAGTGGATTCATGAATAATTGAAATATTCAGATGTGCCCATTTCAATCCACATGTTATAGCTAATGAAAGGTAAGCTGCAGACACAAGCCAATCAACTTTCAATTGCATCACAATGCCATCAATACACGCTCTGATGGTTCAGCTGCTCTTCATAAAGTGGTTTCTTGAATGAATACAACATTTTGATGTGCCTTCTCGAGTTTTCGTATAAGCAGACAAGCAAGCCTATCTACTCTCAGTATCATCACTATACGGCCCATCAATACACGCTCTGATTAAATACAACATTCTGATGATAGCTAACGAAAGAAAACCTGAAGACACAAGTCCATCTACTATTTTTTTCATCACTTTTATAAGTCCCATCAATACACGCTCTGATGGCTCAGCTGCCCTTTATGAAATGGATTATTGGAGCAGAAGGAACCAGGATACACATACAAGTCCATATCTACTTCAATTCTCATCACTATGAGGCCAAGAAATACACGCTCTGATGGCTCAACTGCTCTTCATGAAGAAGATTATTGGATAATGGAAATATTTCGATGTGCCAATTTTAATTTACATGTATATAGCAAACGAAATGAAACCTGGAGATACAAGTCCCCCTTCTTTCATTTTAATTACCCCTTCTGATGGTTCAGCTTCTCTTTATAAATAGTCCCAGAGTCTGCAGGTTTCGACCGTTATCTGATGACGTGAATATATTGTATTTTATCGTACAGCACCGATGCCAATCACTATGCTGAGCAAAATGTTTGAGAAATGGCACTTAATTTCGCGATTTGGTAACGGGATGAGAGTTGTGCCATCCGATTCCAATTGAATGGTAGACCTTGAAAACCTACCTGTACCACCACTTAATCTGAGCCAAATCCACGGCAGGAAGATTTATTCGCTGCTGTTATTACGGACATACTTGAAACGTGCAGCGATTTGAACGTAGTTAAGAAAGTGGCAGAGCGTCAGTATCTTCGAGAATATTTCGCCCCTCTTGAAAGATAATAACCGATGGACCAGTGTAAAACTAACAAGTGGATTCAAATTCTTGTAGTGCTAGTACCACATTAGAAGATGAAAAAACTTCCTTGACAATGATTGTTTTCTAATTGCTAAGCCTCATCGTCCTCCATTATTTGATTTTCCATGTTTGCTAGTTGGGACCATTCAAAAAAACCCTTTCTCATCAATCATTTGAGAAAAATATAACATAACCTAGTCATTTACATGACTTCTCAGCACGGGCTGAAGTTGCATCCCTAACAACACAGGGATGTCCTAGGTACGTACCTTTTTTGTCCCGCGGTACAAGGACATGATTGGGGCATCCAGGGGATGTCGCGCAGTGGTTGTCCATTGGACATCCCGCCCGGTACATCCCTAGGTTATTCTATTCGAGTCCCTGGAATATCTGATATCCATTCACATCAGAGTCATTGAATTTCATCAAAGTATTGAGTTTTTTTTGAAAATGTTTGTTTTCCTCCCGGAAAATGATCGTAATTTAAATAAAGAATGTTTCAGAACTTCTCAAGAAATAACCATTTTTCGTAAACAGAAATCGTACATGCATAACACCCAAGAATGATATAATAATTATACCCAAATCCCAACAAAGTTGTAGTTGTAGTTTCTGTAGTCAAATCCTGTTTATGAATCTGTTTAGTACATAAATCTTCAGGAGGCTCAATAGCCAATACAGTAAGATGCGTGCCTGATAAGCCAAAGGTCCCGGGTTCAATCCGTACTCGACCTAAATTTTTTTTCTCTTGTCGAACGGATGTCCCTGGGATATCCTTCGGACGTCCTAGGGATATATTTTCTTCGTACTTAATACATCCCAGGGACGTACCAGAAGGGCATCCCTAGGATGCCTCTTTTTGTGGAAAGCGGATGTCCCTGGGACGTCCCTAGTATGTACCATGTCCCGAACGGAATATCCCAGGGACGTCCTCGTAGAAAATGAAGGACGTCCCTGGGACGTACTCGTGTTGTTAGGAATATGTCCAAGACATGTACCGAATTTGATGTTTGTCAAATTAACAAGTCGTGGAGATGACTTCGTGCTTTTTTCATTGAATACAATTATTATTATTGCTATTCTTATTTAGCAAAGTTTGCGAGCCGGTGAAAACGAAAAAGTTCGAACTTGTGCGATTAGTGGGAAGCGCCGCCTCTAAAACCGCCTCTGCCTTGGTATTCGAATAACTAATGTTTTGGCTAGATCATTTGTATCGTTCCTTCAGCGAGTAGGGTAATTATTGTATTGTAATTCATTGTAACGGAGGGCATTGAGCTCGTTACATAGATCTGCATTTGCATATAATACAGTGTGGATACTTCAACTGGAATAACTTCGCTAGTGGGGAGGTAAATATTTTTTTTAAATATTCCCGACATACGTCATCAATCTATTTACATACATTTTGTAAGCAATATCCAGAATACATAAACCAACTTTCTCTTGAAAATATTCATTCTGGTCGAAAAAATATCAAATTCTTCGTCATCTAAACCATTATGAAACTTCATGCACCTATATAGTGGAGAATTATACATGAAATTGGTAGTTATCCTACCAGGTACAAATAGTAGCCGATGTCGCACAGGATATCGGGTACAATTCAAGAGGAAAAAACCTGTGCAATATGGAGAATCAATAATGTCATTGACAGTTTTATAGACAAAGCATATATCACAGAATTACCTTCTCAAGTTTAAAATTTCAAGCTTCTTTTGTTGAATCAGAAATTCAAAACATTTATTAGTTTATGCTGCACTTTTTCGATTCTATTTATCTTATCCTTATAGAAAGGATTCCATACTATTGAGGCGTACTCTAGGTGGCTTCGTACGATAGAGATACATATAGTGTTATAATCTCGGTTATAATTGTTTCAGAGCGATTAAAAGAGTTGGTAACTCTTAAAATGAAACCCAAGTTTCGTAATGCTTTTTGAACGATTGTCTCTATATGAGAGTCAAAATTTAATTTGGTGTCAAAAATAATAATTTTACTGAACAACCACTAAATTCTCAATTTTTTGAAATCAAATCACAGAATTAGACTGACAGAAGTGACATCAGATATTTGATTACTTCAAAAGAATGATAAAGATGCCCAAAACGCAGGTGTCCCAACTGTTAAAAACTTAAAAATTTCACGTCGATAATTTTCAGATTTCAAAATAATGTAATATCTTTTCAATATTGATTCGTCCATCCTTCTGTCACAGAAAAAAATAGTGTATTATACACGGGAAAAATATTAGATTCTAGCTCACGGGGCTTAAATCTACAACTTTTTTCCCTTGTATAATGAATAACTATTATTGGCAACATATTTATCTCCTGATCAAACGCTCATGATATGCCAATTTCATAGTTGTGATGTTGAAATTACACACTACCCAATTTTTTTTTATTCCATCTATATTTGCATTATTATCAACAACTGAAACTGAACAGCAGCTCATAGATCGTTTCTATATTATGATAGCTCATTGAACATTGATATTTATTCAATAAGGCATTTATGTTACTAGTCGGTATGTTATCGTTGCCAAATATTGACATGCGAAAAAAATAATATTATGTTGGTGTTTGGACTAATGAGGGAATACAAAACGTAAATTTGTTCAAACAATCTATGTATTTGACGTGAATACATTATTAGTATCATCATATATTCAATGGATTGTTCTCATTTTCACAGTGTTCATATGGAAGAATATGTTGCAGGCAATAATTCTCCTTATGATTTTGATAACGACATATTTCTTGCTTCCTCTCCAAGGATATGTGGTTATTCTCACCTATGAATTTTCATAAATCATTGAAATGTCATGATAATACTGGAGTGAAATGACTTTACTTTACTTCACTTTACTGTAGCGAATTGTCAGCATTAAAAAAAAAAAAACAAAAGATACAATACTTTGTACAAATGTCTTACTAAGTCTGACACCACAAAAAAGGCCACATGGCCTAGTGTGAGTCTACTTCAGTAAGACATTTAAAGATATCCATTCATTTGAATCAAACATCTGAATGATTATAATATAATATAATATAATATGTTATGTTATGTTAATATATTGTTATTGTTATTATTATTTATTGTTTAATAAACCAGCAATATTCAAGCAATATTCAAAAAAATGAAACAACAAAATAATGAGTAGGTCAACTCTAGCTGAAAAAATTGATTAAATGAGGTTTGAGAATTACTATGAAACAAATTGTTTCGGTATATCACAAAATGAAGATTCAACTCGAGGTGAATGGCATATATCGATATTATGAGAGGAACGTAAGAAACATTTCTCAAGAAATGATTGAATGTATAGACTATATAAAAAAATATAGGGACTCTGACTTTAAAAAAACGAACTTGCTAGGGAGCAGTTTACAAGAGTTTCAGCAAAACCATTTTTTATTGATGTGTTTTGTTTTTCAATTATAATTGAGGCTCTCTCTATATATATACCTGATATTTATTTCAAACGTAAATCTCTTTCAACAGAGAAGAGTTTGATGGTAACAAAAACATATAATATTCAACATTCACGTACTACCTAGCAGTGTTTATTTGAACTTGTTGAAAAAGTCATCATTAACATTGAAACTACTAAAAAAGTTCCCACTCTCAGTGTCTTCACCATTTTTCTTATGCATCCACGTTTCTTTGATAAAATCACTTCCTTTTTCCGCGACCATGATAGTGGGAGCATTGGTATTGCCTCTCATTATCTTAGGAAATATAGATGAATCTATCACCCTCAGATTATGAATGCCATACACCTTCAATTCCGGGTCAACCACTGCTGCACGATCATGCTTTGGGCCCATCTTACAAGTGCCTACAGGGTGGAATATTGTTGTAGTATACGCCATGCATATACAAGCCCAGTATTCATCACTACCAAAGTGGAGATGCTGACATGCGGGCAATGGGGTTTGATTGAGTCTTATTCCCAAATGCTGGAATGTCTTGGTCCTCTCCATATTCAAGCTCTGTTTGATACCGTCCACCATTCTGAGAAGATCAATTTCTTCTGTGAAAGTGTTTGCATAAATGAGAGGTTCACCAAAGACCGGATCAGTGTCATTCAGGAGAACTCTACCTCTAGATTCAGGATTCAGCAAAATGGGCCTGATCATCATCCCATCATAATAAGAAAGTGGTAGAACAGCAGTATTATAAGTTAATATCGGATCAGTATAAAAGTTGGCAACATTGATAGCGTCCCAAGAGTACTGGATGTCAGGCCTATCATAGCTCTTCTCATACTTAGTTTGGACGAATGCATTAGTTTGCAAGGGACCTGTGGAAGCTAATGGACCCTTGTGGGTTTGTTTCCACTTGTAAGTGTCTTGTTCACGATTCTCGTCGCTAACTGTAGTCGCTGTATAATTGGTGAGTTGCATTACCACCCCATCTATGGTTGTATGATCCTGGAGATTGAAACCAACTGCTGAATCCTTCAATACCTTTATACCATGCTGTTGAAGATGATCAGCGGGTCCTATACCACTTAACATTAATATCACAGGAGAATTTATACTTCCAGCTGAGACAATAACTTCTTTCTTCGCTAGAACTTTCACCATTTTACCATGTCGAAGGTATTCGACCCCATACGCAGCTTTATTTTTTTCATCGATAAGAATTCTTGTGACATGCGAATTCGTACGTACTACTAAGTTATTCCTCTTGTATCGTATTGGTCGTATGAAAGCCACATTGGTGCTCAATCTTTTTCCATCTCTGGCAGTGTGTTGAAGAAGGCTGGTGCCGATTAGCTTGTCCGAATTTTGGTCAAGTTTGTCCAAACCCAACTCCAAGTAAGCATCGAGGAGAGCGATAGTGTTGATGTCTTGATAGGGAAAGATCTCTACTGTTTGATAGCCTCCTACTCCATGATAGTATTGCTCAATTTTCTCAGGGTTTCTGTTGTCTTCGGATTTTATGAAGTAGGGAAGAACATCTGCAAAAGACCATCCGTGGTTACCCATTTCTTCCCATTCATCGTAGTCTTTGGGGTGGCCTCTTATGTAGATCATGTAGTTGATGGTTGATGATCCGCCCATAACCTTGCCTCTTGCCCAAGTGCACCTTCCATCGTCTCTGGCTAAGCAGCTTTTATGAGATGGTTGGGTAGAGTATCCCCAGTCGATACTGGATGCTTGGAGCATAGGTGCAAACGCAGGAACATCTGCAACGATTGGTTCTTCATCTCCAGCTTCCAGCAATAACACCTGCGAACAAAATATACCTATTAGATCAATCTGAATGATTGTTTCTGTAAAGAATGAGAGGCATGATAAAATCATGTTTTGTGATCATGATATGTTCAATTGTCCATTTGATATATTGAAGCTGATGCTACACAAGGTACACAGTATGAAATATGTGAGCAAGATAAGATTCATTGAAAAAAAAAAGTTGAACATCACAGGATCATTATAACAGCATAATCGTTCATAGTATTTTCGTACGGTATATCTGAAGAAGTGAATTTTGGAAAATGGAGGTGAGAAAATATTGAGAGAATTGAACAGCCTTATAATCAATATCTGAAGAGAAGAGCGCATGCCAGCAGAATGGGAATCGGGTCTGATGATCCCAATCCACAAAAAAGGAATTGACACAAAATGTTCATACTACAGGGGTAAAACACTACTGAACGTAAAATATGAAACATTGTCAAGAGAATTATCAGAGAAATACGCTGAGAAGAGACTGGGAGAGTATCAACAAGGGTTCAGGAACGGAAGATCAACAATTGACGCAGTTTATATTATGACACAAATTAAAGAAGAATGCTACGAAAATAAGATGGACATACACATACTGTTCATTGAGTTGAAGAGGGCTTCCGATAGTGTGGATAGTGGAGAGCTGAAAAAAGATATGGAAAAAATCAAGATTCCAAATAAACTGACAAGATTAACAAAGATGGAATGGAAAATTCCACAGCGAAAGTAGTAACCAACGACGAATACACAGAAATGGAAGAAATAAAAAAAAAACAGGAGTGAGACAAGGAGACGCCCTATCAACAACACTGTTTAATATTTCACTGAATGAGGTCATTCAATTGATAGAGGTAGGATGATCAATTACACAAAACAGTTCTCAAATTGTAGAATATGCATAAGACCTGGCTCTGATCAGTAGAGCCAAAAAAAATGTCTAGAGGAATTGATAACAAAACTAGAGAATGAAGCAATGAAAAGAGGACTAGAAATCAATGGTTAAGAAATAACGAAGTACATACTGATCAATCGTCACAAAGACGCTAACATGGGGAAAATGAGAATTGAAAGATATTATTTCGAAAAAGTGGTGAATTCAAAATACCTAGGACTAATACTGAATCAGAATAATAATAGAGCGATTGAGATCGCAGAAAGAATCAAAGCGGGCATTTTGAGAGTACTTGGCTTTACTTAGCGATAAACATTTCAGCAGAAAAACTAAGAAGCGAATATACCAGGCTGCAATTATATCGATAGTCACCTATGGAGCAGAAATAATGAGTTTGACAAATATGAAGAAGAAAAAGGCTGAATATATTCGAGAGAAAAATAATGAGGAGGATACTAGGGGCCGTGAGAACAGAGGAAGAGGAACAGAGAATGATTATAATGAATCATGAAATGACTTAAAATACTAGCAATGTTGATAAGACTCAACGTGGTGATATCGAGTGCTCTATACGGTGTTTCGTATTCGTATCACCAACTTATTTAGTCTGAAGCTATAAAGTATATCCTTTTCGAATTCAGAATGGGGATGAGTCTCATTTTCTTACCGCTGTGATGATTATTGTTATATTAGTTCCCTTATAGCCTTCGATTCTGATGTGGAAAACAATAATTGTTGTCATGTCAATCAAAACACAAATCAGTTAGTGTGATTCTCAGAGTGACAAACAGAGCGTTACTGTCATTTTCGATCACCTAGAATTGCGATGAAAAACTTCCAGCTACATATGCGATACACATGACTTATTGCCAACGAAGTCTTAAGAAAGGTATGGGAACCACTACACGAGGTTTATTGAATGGTGCTATAGTGAAAAAGTTAAAACACCAAATAAAGAAGTATTTTCGACTCACTTCCTAGAATGTCTGGGACCTAGAGGACAAACACCATGGGCATAGCTTCAAACAGTCCAGACAACAGATATATCACTAAATATTAGAAGATAGAGAAAATATCACTATTGTTATAGTTGTTCCTTATTGCAGGAATAATTTATTGAATAAGTCAATCAATTTCCTACGCTTGTGGAAAAAATATTGTTCCTAAATCATGCGGAAAGTGTCTTTTCCGCACTCGACTGCTTGTCCAAACTCCGCTTCACGTCGATCAGGTCAACGACGTTCGCGTGCGGAGAAGTGTCACTTTCCGTACTTGTTAGGACAATTCCAATTCATGTTTTCATCGATCTTTTTTCAGGTCGTTCAGTTTTCAAGATGTTATCGAAATCACTCGAACTCAGTTCTCAAGTTCTTATATACAATAGTATTCCTGAAATCATCAAATCACTAGTGAGTATTCACAGCTTCGAAAAACAACTGGAGAAACACATACTTCAATGTCAAAGAATTCCGCTGCTACGACTATTCGAGTAAATAAAAATTATGCAAATTGTGCAAAATAAGTCTATATACGTACTATCGTCATGTATCGATCCATAATTCTTTTTTATTCTATATTTTTTAATTTTGAATTGATTCAGAATATAGTCACTATTTATGTATATACATGTACATTTTGTATATTCATGTTCGTTTCTATAAGTATATTTTCTACTACCTCTTATGTATTCATGCGTATATTTTTGTATTTTATCTATATTTGTTCAACGAAACAAGTATATTTTGTACTTATCGTTTTTTACGAACTTCTGCTTTTTTATTTGTACATTTATATATGTTTGGAAATCCATGTTACTGTTGAATAATAGTATATTGTTCAGCGAGCGCATAATGATGGCTATTACCTACGAAGATGAAAGTTGTAGTACGAGCCGAAGGCTTCCGCTTCAGCATTCCCCCATCGCGATGATTAATTGCAGTACCCTGTCTCTAGATGCTAGTTATCAACAATGAAGATCCATGGTTCTGATTGGTCTGTACTAATCTATTCGAATAGCCCGCACATAAGTGTGAGCAAATCTGCAACTGTCAAGTGTCAAGTCCTATTTTATGGTAATGGTTATACTCATGATGGTAGTCACTGTTGAGAATGGAAAACAGTGAATTCTCACTTTCTTGTGTATTTGTAGAATTAAGAGGCGGTAGAAGTTGATAATCCCATTTCATTGTGTTCTTCCATGACGTCATTTCCGTTTGGTTCAACCTCCCCTGTCTGCCCCAGCAGCTTCACCAACTCAATTGTTGGTTTTGTTGGATAATATCAAAAGTGTTGTGTCATAGATCGATAAAATTCATCATTTATGATTTGGTTTCCAAAACTCTAACTTCGAAACAAAAAAAAATATGAAAAATTTCATTGAAATTGGAAATCACAATTTTCGATAACAAGAGAGACCAAGAATATGTGAAAGAAATAGGATCGTCGGAAACGGTTGATGTTGACGTCATCATGCCGTAGTTGTCTCCTAAATACTTCAACTGGGTATGTGAAAGAAAGTGCAACTAGTAGAACGAATACCTACCTAGTTGAATTTGAAAAGACGATGGTATGTCAGATTATAACGCCATCCTACTGTAATTATTACTCTTGTTATTATAGTTGTAGATATAGTTCTTTATCATAACTTTCGAATGATGTTTTATATCATTATTATCATTATTCTTGGAAACTTCATTTACCCAATTTTGAGTTCATGCTGGGGGCCTTGGGTATCAAGATACACTGTCTAGTGGGTATTTCGGAGTTGTGAAGTTTCCATCTAACCATAACAGGTAGGTGTACCGTATACTAATTCAATGAGAAGTCGTAATCCCTGTGCAAATCCGAATGCACTACTAAAACACAAGTAATTCAGCGACCAGGTGTGTGCCACCCGAAGATATTAAATGCCGTGCTGGCGCAGTTTTGGCAAACATATAATTCACCCCGAAGCCCGCAGAAATGATAATTCAACTAAATCGCCAGGAAACTGAAGTGTGCAGAAGAAAATTTATGGTCTCATTCCGATGACTGATATGTTTTCTAAATATCAGACGATTCTCTTTTTTCCACCGACCCATATTTTGTAGTGGTTTACATAAATCTTCGAAAGTGTACAGGTAAACAATATACAGCGTGTCCAATTGGGAAACGTCAAAACTCCAACGGTGGGTAGTGCTCAGCAAGGTGGTTCTCCATAAACCATATTTGTAGGATCCCACAAGTTTCATATCAGAGATATAGGGTGTTTTATAAATATATATATATAAAGAAGTCTTTGTGAGAACATACCCTGAGAATCACCCAGTATATCGTTTGGCAATCTGATACACAACACCTTCTTTTTCTACCCAAGCCACTTACCTATCAGTCACAAAAAATCCAGGTCCGGATTAACCAAAATTGATCATACATCTGGACCCCAACAAGAACACCCTTTCAGAATTTCCAAAACCAGCTCACATATTTGAAAAGTGCACAATGATCTGAATCGAAATATGCAATTTTTATTTTTATTTGTCCCGCATTCTATCACAAAAGAATGTCTGATTTTGAATTTGGATAGGGGGAAAACGGATGTTTTGTTTTTCCAATCGAATAACAAACATTATCACGAACCACTCAGTATACCAATTTGGAAGTGGGTACATGAATCCAAAAATTTATCTGAGTGCAATAGTAATTTCAAAATACATGAAGACACAATGGCGTATTCATCCAGGTTTCGCATGCGATTCAGCTTATTGTGCACTTTTCAACAACTAGCTAGGAAAAAACTCAAACACCCTTCGTTGAGCCAGAACCTTTTGGCGGGATCAGTACTAGTACTGTATCAGAAGAAATCAGAGAAGAAGAAGTTGACTAGAAATCAGACTTCTGGGAAAATCTTTCAAGATACTACTGGGTTCATATAACCACAAAAGATCGGACGCATATGTCAGCCTAAGTAAAAGTTAACTTCGTATAATAACAGGAGCCCTAACAGGGCACTGCCGGTTGGAAGGACATCTCAGGAAGTTCGGCTTAGAAGAGGAAGATGGCAGGTTCTATGGGAAAGAGGAGGAAACTTTTAATCACATAATCACAGAACCCAAGAGCAAGAAACATA